TATGACATCATAGATTTCTGTATCATTCGTAAGTTTGTTTTCTTAGGTTGCATTTGGTTCCAAGAAAAAGGACCCTCTTGTTTGACTACTTCATTGTGTCAGCAGACTGTACAGCAACACACTCAAGGAAAACCTTCATCTGGGGTTTCAGGGAGTGACTCGTATAGACAAGCAAAGACCATAGAGTCGAAAGATATATAGTTTTATACATTTTCCTTACTTAGAATTTGAAAAACTTCAATGCAAACTAGGCGCAATGAGACGAAAGTACGAACTATTACACTAGCGAAATGAAATAAAAATACCGTGCTAAAAATTCGTCCAAAATAAATAACTTATATACAAATTGAAAGCTGAAACCTTAATCTATGTACTCCTGAAAAGAAAATTGGAATATCTTTCCTTGTTCTTTCAGCAACGTCCTTCAGAGGTAACATTGTGCAGGTCGGTGAACTGCACCGATGTCGGTGGCATACGATTATTTAAAGGGTCGGTGCGGAAGGGTTAACACAAGTTGGAGAAGGGTTTCTGCTATACTTTAAAATATTACTTTATGACTTTAGGTAAACTGGGGTTCTTCATGGATCAGTATGCCACAAAAGAAGAAATGCATATCAAATTCTTGTGGATGTCTCCCATATGAAATTGTACCATCCACTGAACGTTTAATAGCATACATGGTAAAGTCAATGTCTGGTCTTATGAAAACTAGGCTTTATTCTGGGTCAAAATGGTACAAAATTGGAACTGCCCATCAAATATGGGTCAGTTTCTCATATTGGATTTCAACCATATGAGTGACATGAGATACATGGAAAAAATCCATATATGGTCTTGTGTAAACAATGCCTGGATTTGTGACACACAACCCCCCCCCTCTCTGATTCCAGCATAGTTTCTCCACCAACCATACTGCTGCATGTCCCTCCACGTCAGGCCTATATAAAAACATATGTACCATGTCTTTGCACCAAATCTAAAACCGCATCAACATGGTCCCACACATTGTCACAACTCACCTGTCCCACATCAATGGTGTTAATGAACTTCCTAGCAGTAGCCCCATTGGTTGTAAAGATGGCGGTGCCATTGCCATATGGGTTGCTGTTGATAAGTTCCACTGCTGCATCCAATGTATCCACATTCAATGTGATCAGAACAGGTCCAAAGATCTCCTCTTTGTAACACTTCATATTTGGCTGGAACACAAGACACACAGATGAGATTCGAGTTTCTCATGGGCTGGATATGACAATTACTGTCTTCTGTGTTGTGACAAGGTTCCTTCAAAACATTACCAACTTTCTGCCGCACAACACAGCATAAAATCCGGAAAGACAGAAATATTCAAGTTACTCACACTTAGTTTCAAAATAACATTCCATGTAGGTAACTAAGCTTGTGAAGTTAATAAGTTGGACACCTCTTGAATTTTTTACTTATTGTCCAATCTTTATGTTATGAACCTTTATATCCCACTCAGTGATGTCCACCTTGAAACAGCACTGACCAGCAGTCACTGTTAGCACACTCCCAGGCTCTTTCTTTAATGAGAAAATATTTCCTGTCCCCACTAGACACAATGGTACGTATGGCTATAAGCTTAGAGTTGAAATGAAGACATAACAGTGCTGTATCCTTCAGCTGAGCTCAAGCTTGATGCAGCACAGTCTGGTAGAGATATATTAATGTTTCAGAGGAATGTGATACCTCAACCTCGAGGCAGCACATTCCTCTAAGAACCACATTTCTTTTTTCAGAGTATTTAGGTAATGGTTGAATAGCCAGATACAGGCTCTGGCAGGCTTTATCTTGATGCAAAGCCTTACGCAGCACATGAAGACAGAACTGAACTCTTTTTATATTATTATATTATGGCTGAGTAGCCAGATTCAAGCTCTAGCTGGCTTTATTCTAATGCAAAGCCATACAGAGCACATAAATGTAAAAGTCAATATGTTTTTTACAGTATAGGATGATGGTTACAGGACCAGCTTCAAGCTCTAGCTGGTATTATCCTGATGCAAAGGCATACAAAGTATATGAAAGTAAAACTCATAGCTGATGGTTGACTGATAACTTCAAGCTCTGGCTACCTTTAACTTGAGATGAGAAACTAAAGTGTGGTTCCTCGGACTATGAGTTATGATTCCCGGGTGGGGGTGGGGGGGGTGTTACCAAGTTCTCAAGAAGTATTTTAAACACACCGTATCTAGCAAAAACCTCAGAAATAAATATAGCTTACTATGAGCATAGAAAGATTATGAAGTTTTTTATATATATATATATATATATATATCTGCTGTCACCACAGCCTTATATGGACCGGAAGCAATGCACTGCACTTTTCACTAGCAGAGATCTGGAGGTTGTGCAATTTTATGTATTATTTGGGGGGGGCAGTTTCACAAATGTTGAGAATCCCTGGTATAAACACAGGTGCATAGTCCATATACCTTAAATGCACCAAAATTTCTTGGATCAGACCAAACAGTTCATTTCTGATGACATATCAATACAGCTTACAGTGACATCTGTGAGGATGGTTGGCCCAATGAAGTTGCCCTTCTCGAAGCCAGGCACTTGAAGACTGCGTCCATCAAGAACACATTTGGCTCCTTCCTCAATGCCTGACTGCACTAGATCACAGATCTTCTTCTTTGCTTGTACGGAGATAACAGGACCAAAATCTGTGCCTGGTACATGACCTGAACAACAGAGACACAGTTCTTTTTTAAATATGACAGACTCCAAAATTATCCAGTTATCAATACATCCGTCTGTATGTGTGCATGGAACAACTTAAGAAACGATGCAGATTTTCGTGAAATCTGATATTGGAGAATTATGTGAGAAACTGTAGACCAATTCTAAAATGGCTGGCTGTTACCCACCTGCATTCACTTTCAGAGTCTGCGCTCTTGCTATGAGGTCTGGCAGCCACTGCTGTGCCTCACCAACAAGCACAGCCGTGCTAAGGGCCATGCAGCGCTGTCCTGCTGCTCCAAACGCAGCCCCAACCAGCTGGTTTAGAGTATGCTCTTTATTTGCATCAGGCATCACTACACCATGATTTTTGGCCCCCATGTTGCTCTGAACGCGCTTTCCATTGTGAGACCCTCGTTCATAGATGTACCTTCCCTGTAATAACATGAATTAGACTTCAACACAATCTGACAAAACTTGTAAGCTAATATATCCCAGACTGTACCAACCCCATTTAGAGACATCGTAGATGTCACACAGAAGGAAGATAGGACATGTGAGGAAATGCAGGCACGTAGTTCCAAAGCAACTGTTTTTGTAGTGAACCTATTTCCATTGCCTTAAGATGTCGTAACTATACTTCCCAACTATATATGTACGAACAACTTTCTGATCCAGCACTGTTATAATTTCATTTATATGCTACATGTTGGTCTTGAGCATCTAGTTCTGAAAAAACATTTTTGCTCCCAGACAGAACTAGGAGCAGCAGCTTTGAGAAGGCAACTACATAGGAAGATGCGGAAAATGTTACATTGTGGGATGCAATGCCATGAATTTAAGTTGGTTGTTTAATGATGCTGTCAGTATTGAGACTATACAGCACTAATAACAAGTTCATTAATGAATGTGCAGAAATCATTGGAATAATAGCTAGCAGCAAAAACCAAAGTACCTGAAGAAAACCTACCATAGTGCACCTGCATAGGGCCGCGCCATAGCTCAAGCGGTTAGTCACTGGCTTCCCACCACGGTGGCCCGGGTTCGATCCCGGGTCTGGTCAAGTGGGATTTGTGGTGGATAAAGTGGCGCTGGGGCAGGTTTTCTCAGAGTACTTCCGTTTCCCCTGCCAATCTTCATTCCACCAATTGCTCCACAATCACCCTCACCTATCTATCATCTGGGGCTGGTACAATAGGCCAGCAGTGGCCGCAGTACAAAGGACTCAGTCCCACCCCACTAGCAATATTATTATTAGTGCACCTGCGTACACCACAACTCCAACATAATCTGACGTGGGACTGTGTTGCTGCAGTGGGAAGACAGTGATTAACTGCCTGAGTTATTGAACAGCCTGCAAGGGCAAGAAGTCCCGCAGGAGTTGACCAATGTTTCAGAGGAATGTACTGCCTCCATCTGGTTGCTAGACAACCCAAATAAAAGCAGAGACACCAAAAGCAGAAGGAGAAATAATTCAAAAGAACACAGAGCTTTTACACTGCCATAACCATCTGCTGTCTCATTCATACGGTGACAATATATTAAATTTCTGATGTATCAATGGGTATTCCAAGCAGCAGCTAGAGCCATCTATTGGGCTATATATGAGTACTGTGATTTACAAGACACATCCTAAATTTCATAATCCCTGAAGATGGAAAATGTTCAATAATCAGGTGAATACAATACTAAATATCAAATTTGGAGTTCACTCCTTGCTACCCTTCCAGAAACTTGGGGAGGGACACAGTGAAAACTCAATTTTACACATTTGAAGGGACCACCTTAAATAATTGTAAAATCAGGGAAATTGCAATAAAACATAAAGAAAAATGTGGGTTGCTGTCTTTGACTTTTCTGAAACAAAATATTGTGAACATAAAATCAGCTAAAATTTCTATTATCAAGAGTCGCAAAATGAAACATAAATATGAATAAATGTAAAACCAGTTCCCGTTCAACTTTGTTCTCATAGATATTTGGCTGGGACCAAATAAAAAGAGTACAAATCAGAGAGAAAGGTAAAATCTGAGAGTGTAAAACTGGAAGTTTCACTGCAAGATGCATGTAACACACTACGCGCTTACTTACCGCTGCATCAGATCCCACAAATGAGATGGCTTTGATATCCGGGTTATCACATATGAAGTTGACAGCTTCGTGTGCACCATGGATAACATTGACAACACCAGGAGGGCAGCCTGCCTCGTTCAGCATCTCCATCAGCATCATGCACGCCCCAGGGTCCCGTTCTGATGGCTTGATGACAGACGTGTTACCCAGGACAATGGCAACAGGAAACATCCATAACGGAATCATGGCTGGGAAGTTGAATGGCGTTATACCGGCTGTTACACCGAGTGGCAAACGGTATGAGTAAGTGTCCAAATCCTTGCTGATGTTAGGCAGGGTCTCTCCCAGCTGGAGGGATGTCACACCACAGCAGTGTTCCACCACCTCTGTACAGGCATACCAACATAGCTGTATACACACAGGCCCGAACATAAAGAGTATCTGCAAGTATAAGATCACATCATAGCTCAGGCAGTTGGCTGCCAGCTTCTCTCTGTGGGATTCAATCCCACATCTTTCTTGTGAGATCTGTGGTGGTCAAAGTGACACTGGGGCAGGATTTATTTGAGTACTTTCCCTACCAGTTCTCAGTCCGCCAAATGCTCCATTCTCCTGTGCATCAGCCACGGCTAGAACGGACCACTTACAGCCAAGTACCAAAAGATTCAAAAATGCTCTCGACTAAAAATAATAACAACAACAACAAATGCAAGTACAGGCAATCCACACATGTGCATGGTTTCAGTTCTGCAAACCCTTAAAGGTATCTAATTATACACATGCCTGAAACTACTATATGTACACTTAGCATATGAGGTGCTATCAGAAAGTTCCTAGACTAGGTCAAATGGCTGCCATCGCCTTCAAAATAGTCTCCTTGGGAACATATACAACAATCCAATCATTTTCCCATTCTTGAAAACACTGTGGAAGTTATTTTCCTTAATGCTGTTGAGTATCACTTGTGATTCCCTTTGGATGTCAGACACTATTTCAAAATGTCATCACTTCAGTTTCCTTTTCAATTTGCGAAACAAAGCACAATCACAGGGTGCTAAGTCCAGCAAATATGGAGGATGTGAAAAAATAACCATGTTGCTGTTAGTCACAAACTCTATGGTTTTCAGGGACATGTGGGCAGGCACATTGTCGTGATAAAAGAGCCAGTTATGGTTGTGCCAGAGCTCCGGTCTTGTTTTGTCACACATTTTCTCTCAAGCATCTCAAAATGTCACAGTAAAATTCAGAGTCAACTGTAGTGATAGGAGGAACAAATTCACAGTGAACAATCCCCTTCACATCAAAAAAACAATGAGCATGCTCTTTGCTGAACTCCAGACCTGCCACGCCCTTTTTGCTCTTGGTGATTGTGCGCTCTCCACTGTGATGATTGTTGCTTTCTTTCTAGATCATAACCGTAAATCCAGCTTTTATCACCCATTATAATCACAGAGGTAAAAGTTGGGTCCTCATTAGCCTTCTCTCATAGCTCAAGACATACGTTCACACACTGCTGCTTTTGATCATTTTTCAAGAGTCTGGGAACAAACTTCATGGTAATGCAATGCAGGTTCAAATTTTCTGTTAAGATCTCCTGGCAAACTCCATAATTGATCAAAATGGTGTCTGCAAACTCATGGGTTGTTCAGCGACAGTCTTCGTGGATGAGCACTCAAATTTTTCACCATTTTTTGTCATATTGCTGGTGCCTGGTCGCCCTGAACGTTCATCATCTTCAACTGACACTCAACCAACCTTGAAATGAGAATGTCATTCAAAAACCAGTGTCTGGCTTAAAGAATGTTCTCCAGAAGCCTTACGAAGCATTTCAAGGGTTTCAGCAGCAGATTTACTGAGCTTCAAGCAAAACTTGATGCAGACATGTTGCTCGATTTTGCCATCCATTGCAAACAAAACAAAACCACTCATGTAAAAACAGTGCATATCCACAGCACAGTGTCATGTGCCAGATTGTTACAGCAGGCTTGAAAAAATGTGACCTTGGCCTCCCTTCTCATATTCTTTCACCGAAGCAGTTACAAAAATAAGAGTCCAGGAACTTCCCGAAAGAACTGATACCATGTTAGGTGGGTCCCTTTTCACCACTGCATGGCACATGCTCAGGTTGCAGACTGAGGAGATGGCCTCCAGATATGGAGGGTTGCTGCAAATATAATGAATAAGCAGTTGCAGACAGCTGACAAGGGAGAGTCCTCCAGCTTTGTGGTTGGGCATGTGGCTAACAACTCCCCACCATATACAAGCTTGTTATGAAATGTCACAAAGGGCCTCAGATCTGGATAGAATGTTTGGACAACTGACTTAAGCTAAGAAAAATGGACATGAGATTCAGTACATGGAATGTGAGAAGTCTGTATAGGGCAGGTTCACTTATGACATGTGCAAAAGAAAGATCTCAGAGACAGGATGGGGTGGTATGGACTGGATCAATCTGGCTCAGGATAGGGACCAGTGGAGGGCTCTTGTGAACACGGTAATGAATCTTCAGGTTCAAAGAGGGCTCAGTAATATGAAGTTAGTTATATAATCTGATGACGGGAGCCAGGTCAGCTCAGTCAGTATAATGACTAGGTTATGGGCAAGATATCTGAGGAACGAGCGTTCGATGACAGAGGAGAGATCTCCATAGTATTCAGGCTGGAACTGAGGCCTACCCAGTCTCCCATCTAACAGGTGCTGTGACATCTTTCCTGGGAGTAAAGATACTACTCACTCAGTCTAGTGCAGAGATTAAGAATAGATAGAGCCATCTCCACTCCCCCATACATCTTCATGGTTAGTGCTTATTTAAGCTCAGGGACAACTTTACCTTACAATTATATTTTCATGATACTCTACAAGTAGTAAAGAAAAGAATACACAAGAAAGAAAATCGACAACCTTCATTTTCTTCAGACCTGAAATTAGAACAATTACCAAATTATTCATGAACACTGAAGTTGGTATCTTATATATAACTAAAAACAACATTAAACACTTATTAAGAATAAATGAAAAAAGAAATGAAAAGTACAACTTAATTGGTGTTTACCAGTTACAATGTGCAGACTGTCCACTGAAATATAAGACAAACTGGGCAAACATTTAAAATTAGATTTAAAGAACATACATGAGATATAAAGAACAATGGACATAATTCCAAATTTGTCCAACACACAGTAGACACTACACATGAATGATCAAACAATGGGTATTTTACATATTGGTAAGAAAGGTCAAGCATTGGATACCTATGAAAGATTTCATATATGAAATCAGTAAACAAAATACGCAACTAAATGATAATTTTACCGAAACATTCAACCTAATATATGATGTAATAATCACATCTTACCAAACATAAACAATAATCTTACCTCCTATCGCACCACATCCATATACACCCTATCCCTATCTGTACCGCTTCCTTCCCCTCCCTTCCTTACATAGAACTCCATAACAACACATTCCACAAAATAAGTTGCAATCCGCCTTCCTGCTAGACCGGACATAATACACGTAACTAGAGGTACCCGACAAATAGTAAGTAGACAGTACAACTATAATATCAACATCAAAATCAATATTTAGTCACACTAAATATAACTACAAAATATTTATAAGAGTTACTATTGNAACCTTAAAGGGCCGTCGTTTTACAAGCATAGATGACATTAAAAGCGCATCGCTGAAAGAGCTAAAGGCTATCCCAAAAATCGAGTTTGAGAAGTGTTTCGATGATTGGAAGAAGCGCTGGCGTAAGTGCATAATATCGAATGGGGACTATTTTGAAGGCGACAACATTAATGTAGACGAATGAATAAATATTTTTTCCAAAATACGGAAATTCCCGTCATTTTTTGAACACACCTCGTATTACTTCCAGATAACACTGCAGGCATACAACAGGCCTCCAAGCATTTTAACCACTTCATACGTGTATACAAGCAAGAAAACTGTCGCCATATGTCCACAAAAACACTATGACATAACATTACAATTGCAACAACCCACCTTAATATGACATATTATATGTATTGTTCTTAATTACATTTTAATTATGTAACTTATCTCGTTTAAAATCTTTATCTTTTATTGTAGTTTATGTTTTATATTATTATATTATGACATATTGTCGAAAATCCAAAACTGCACTGAATTATATGTATGCAATCCAACAGCTTAGGAACACATTAATTGTGTATTTGCCTGATGATGGCTTTCTAAACATGGATCAAAATACTGTTAAACAACAACTGTTTTGTTGTTCTGTTGTGATGGATTTTAATAAAGAAAGTTAAAATGTGTGAGTCATGGCAATGACTATTACAGTTACTAATGTTATCTGCCCTTCAACGATTTTAAAATATTTTTCATCAAAATATCACATTACAGATGACAGTGAAATTAAAAGCTTATCACTTACGCAATCCTCGTAAGACATCTCCTTCGGCGTCAATCAGTGTCTTGCCTTGTTCTGTCGTGATGTTTTTGGCCAATTCTTTCTGTAGAGCACAAAACAAACTATTAATACTGCTAGTTCATGAATCAAAGACAAGTTAAGATGATAAACATTGACAGAATTGCAACAAGCACAGACAGACATAGCCCCTACAGTAGAAAGATGTACACCATAGAGACAGAAACTTCCTAAATCTTTAAGGCAGTGTCTACACGAGCGCACAAAATGCATCCGTTGTAACAAACGTACTTTGCTGAGGATGTTGCTGAGGACACCACACAGTTGCAGAATGTTGTGCGCAGTTTTTTGTTTGCAATGGAGCCAGAAGAAAGCATAGCATTCACCTCTCTTGTTTATCTCTACAACAGATGTCACAACGTTCGTTACAACGGAAACATTTTGTGCGCTCCTGTAGACGCTGCCTAAGCATACAGTTTTCTGGACTGTAGTTAGGATACAGCCCAATGTTCCAAAGGAACATATCACCTCCTTCAAGATCAAAGAGTAAGCAAAGAAAGAAAGCAACTGTTAATCTTGCCACTTTACTCTTTAACCCCAAAAGCAGTAGTGACTTATTCCTCTGAAATGCTTGGCTCTCTCCAAAACACACAGTGTTGCAACACATAAGGCTACAGTCTTCATTGCCATTGCCATGAGAGCATCAGATCAATCATTCCAAATACTTGCTTACCAGAGGAATCAACTACAGGAGTTAGTTGAAGGAACATTTTAGATTTTGTATTCATAAAACAAGCAAAGAAATATCCATACAGAGAGTAACAATTCTGGTGTTTACTCCCCCTTAAGTATTTCAAGAACTGCATATCTTATGGAAACAGAGTACTGGGCACAGCATGTTTCATTTTCTCCACATTTGTTTCAAACATTTTTCACTCCAACGCATATTACATACAGAAACATACGTAAGTCTTCGTGTAAAGTGTCCTTCAATTTTGTCAGTTTTTGTTTACCAAAGTTGTAATGTGTTAACAAATTTTTATATTCCCTTCAGTGGTTCTCTATGTCCACCATACATCAATGGACAGACAGACAGACAGACAGACAAACTGTGAAGCTAACAGGCATATTTTTGCAACCTTCCATTGCAAACATTTGAAAAACTACACTACTACGACTGCTGCTGCTGCTGCTGCTGCTGCCAACACTGCCACTGCCACCGCTACTACTTATAAAAGGTAAAACTATCCCTGTAACAGGCCGTGGAGACCCATAGGGTTGAGGTGTCGAGGCTCCCACATTTTCTAGACAGTTGGCTCACAGATGTCAGTGAAGTTGTCAGCCTTACATGCCGGCCAGCCACCCTTTACCCTCAGGAAGATTCCAGGTACTCATTTCTGTAAGAGGGTGAGTCAAACCCAGAGCCATAGTGCAAATGGAAGGATCAGTTCAACTGAAAATTCCAATAACCTCATTGGGAATCGAACCCACGACCTTCCGGGTTACAGCATAGTGCCTCAACCAACTGTCCTGAAGATAGTCATAACACTGCTCTGAAACATCATTAATGATCTACCAGATCACATGACGTCACATCCAAGGAGACGGTAATCCTCACAGAGAGATTTGAGGTTCTCTCGTGGCAACAATAACGAAGTTTATGTTTCCTGGGAAATTATTCTGTGCACTCTGTCACATCATTACCAGTGTTTGGAGGAATGTGGTAAGGTAACGGGTAAAGCTGTCCCTCTCTTAACTAATTAAGCACTACGCCATGAAGGCGTATGGAGGAGCTGATGTACAGACCCATGTTTCCTTGACCTCAGCACAGTCAGAGGTGAGTGGTCAGATTCACGCCCCAGCCGCTTTACCCCCCCAGGGGAAAGAGCCCCCAGTACCCATTGGATAGGAGGCTAGGTGGGCCCCAGAGCCAGGCTGGACAACATGGAGAAGTGACTATTCTTATCCCCACCAGGACTCATACTCCGACCCCTCAGTCATCCAGACTGTAGACAATCACTATACCGACTGCGCTATCCCAGCTCTCTGGAGGAATGTGGTCCCTCCATTTTTTAGGTTCAGTGATATTCTACCAGACTGTATAATGTAACATCCCAGAAGAGAGCAATTTGCATAGTTGCCACCATAAGAACCCCAAATCTTGCACACAGCTCACCATGTTTTTCCTAATGATGTCCTGATACCGAAACATCACTTGCTGTCGGGAAAGAACTGACGACTGAGACCACGTTTTAAATGCTTCCTTGGCTGATGTCACTGCCTGCTGCATCTCATCCTCTGTAGCTTTTGGTACCCTTGTCACTACCTGTAAAGGTAACAGTTGCCTCTGTGCTTAATTAATTAAGCACCATGCCATGAAGACATATGGGGGAGTGGAGGTATTGCTCAACCATTCTTGACCTCGGCACTAGATGGAGGGGAGCGGTCAGCTTCATGCCCCGGCCACTTTACCCCTGGTACCCATTGGATAGTAGGCTCAGATGCTGGGTTGATTCTAGAGCTGGTCTGGATGCTGTGGAGAAGACGAAAATCTTACTCTTGCCAGAAGTCAAGCCCTGGCCATCCAGCCTATAGCCTGTCACTATGCTGACTGAGCTTTTGCAACTCTTGTCACTACCTGTAATAAAATTAATTCTCTGTGGGTTATTTCAATGTTATAGAATGACTTGCAACACCATCCTGTGTTACTGATTAATAAAGGTTGTATTTGTAGGCCGCGCCACAGCTCAAGCGGTTAGTTGTTAGCTTCCAACTGTGGCAGCCCGGGTTCAAACCCGGGTCTGCTCAAGTGGGATTTGTGGTGGACAAACTGGCGCTGTGGTAGGTTTTCTCTGAGTACTTCGGTTTCCCCTGCCAATCTTCATTCCACCAAATTCTCCATCATCATAACCATCCAGGGCAGGTACAATAGGCCAATCAGTGGCCACCGTGCCGAGTGGACCCAACTGGACTCCACCCCCCACTAAGCGAATTTAAAATAAAAAAGTTGTATTTCAATTTCTCATTGTCCTTAACATGTTTCGGTCGGATTGACCACCTTCAGAATGACACAATCAACATTTAGGAAACCACTATTACAATGTCATTAATATATCAAAATTATAGCTTGTAACAGCATTAAGTACATGAAGTGGTTGGAATATTTATGAGTTATTATAACAAATTTATTTACACAGTCCAGTATTTAAAAGTAAAGTTATAAATTCATTATAATAACTCATAAATGTTCCAACCACATCATGTACTTAATGCTGTTACATGGTACAATGTTTATATATTAATGACATTGTAATGGTGGTTTCCTAAATGTTGATTGCGTCCTTCTGAAGATGGTCAATCCGACTGAAACATGTTATGGATAATGAAAAATCGAAATACAACATTTATTAACAAACACACTGGATGGTGTTGTGAGTCATTTGATACTGTTGCTAGAGTGACCGACCAGGGTGATCCAAGTCAAGGATTTCAACGTTGTCTCTTATATTCTGAAAACGTAAGCAGCAGGTTCCCCTGAAATATCATCTAATATCTACAACACTGACAGTGTAACATCCCAGGAGAGAGTGATATTCTTACATTTTCTGCTACAAATTAATACTGACAACTTACAACTAAATTTATGATTATTCTCATGTGATGGACATCTTACCCATCACAGAGAGAACTTGATTTTGTACTAAATATGAAACTATACACTTACAGTCATACAGTATGCTACAGTTTTGTAGGCAAGGGTCCCATGTGTTTAAAATAGTTAGTTGGCTGTAGGAGTGGGACCACTCCAAGTCCCTTGTGGCCTCAAATGGGACTACCACATAAACTGAGCATTACTTGAATGATAACTGGCAGCAGAAAAACCAAAATGCTATAATGCTACATTGTCAACCACAAATACCACATGAAGTGATCTGAGAATGAACCCAAAGCAGTGCATCCAACATAAGCTGAGCAGCCGTAAACAGGGCCTCTGTTATCACATGTTTAGGGCTGCACCATAGCTCAAGCAGTTAGATGTTGGCTTCCCACCGCGGCGGCCCGGGTTCGATCCCGGGTCTGGTCAAGTGGGATTTGTGGTGGACAAAGTGGCACTGGGGCAGGTTTTCTCTGAGCACTTCGGTTTCCCCTGCCAATCTTCATTCCACCAATTGATCCACGATCACCCTCACCTATCATCTGGGGCTGGTACAATAGGCCAGAAGTGGCCACAGTACAAGAGACTTAGTCCCACCCCACTAGCAATAAAAGAAAAATCACATGTTTATCACTACCAATATTCATGTAAACAGAATGGCTAGACTGGATGGGACAATAGTGAAATATGTTGGAATGGGAGATGTAAAGGGGCTTGATCCATGAGACATATTTTTATGGCCTTCATAAAATGTTCTTTACATATTCCTCTGTAAGTAAATCTGTCATACTTCATTTGTTGCTGGATTGTGTACATCAATCCAATCCTTTGTTTTGGATTCCACAAACTTTCCATTGATGAAGAGTTTTGTTGTTGGCACTGCGGACATGTTCCGACTCCATGCTACGATGGCACTTCGGGCTCGATTCATCAAGACAAACCCCTAGAAACAAATTGAAAGGTTTGTTGATTTTTACAATCATGTAGCAGGCAGAAGAAGTAAAAAACAATATACAAGAGACAACGAAGTGGAGAAAAATGGTACAGATACTCATCAATGTATGTGATAGCCATGTTACCAAAAAGTAAAAAGTGAAAGGGGTGAACTCAGATAAATTGAACATAATTTTCATGTCTCCCCTTCCATTCCTCCTCCATAAACTCGTACAATACTCTAATCCAGGGGTCTCCAAACTTTTCGAACCGCAGGCCACATTAGGTAATTCAGCACTTTCAACGGGCCGGATAAAATGAGAAATTAATAACTCTAGGTATATGAGTTTTATTGAAAGCACAGAATTCCATAAACTAAATACAAAGTACATGAGAATAAATTATCGTATATTAATGACAACAGACAGTAGCAGCAAATGCTCATATTTTCGTCACAAATTATAATAAAACAATTAATGTGAATGAAGGAACTCTTTTTGCATTCTTAAAATCTGATTAAATTGATGTTCAAATTTTGAAACACTAATCACAAGTAGCGACTTTAAATGTTCATCGGATAAATTTGCCCTGTATTTCGACTTGATGTAATTCATCTGGGAAAAAGTTTGTTCACACAGATATGTCGTCCTAAAAATGGAGATAAATTTACAAGCAAATGTCTTTAAATTTGGTAATTGCTTAGAGTTCAGAAATTTATAAAATTTGATCAAATTTCCTTTCTTGTATTTGTCTTTAATATGATAATTTTCCTGAAGTTCAATAATTTCCATCTGAATTTGACTTGGGACATCTGCAGCATCACAGTCAAACGGATTTTGAAACAATCTAATTTCCTGAGCACTGGAATCCAAATCAGCAAATCGCTTCCGAAATTGTTCTTTCAAATCTGAAATGACTAAATTTGCAAACGAGGAAGGAAATTCTGCTTCACCCTTTTTATGCAACTCTGCACAGTATAGCATATGAACAAAGTTACAATTTTTCACTTGGCTTTCCAGAAGTATCAACTTTGCTCTGAATGCCTTGATAAGTGCAAATAAATCACAGACTAAGTTATTTTCACCCTGCAACTTTAAATTCAAATGGTTCATATGGTTCACCAGATCGGCAAAAAATGCTATTTCCAAAGCCACTCAGTATCTGATAAAAGTGGTTCGTGATGGTTTTTATCGGTAAGAAATATGTCAATTTCATTCCTGAGCTGAAATAAGCGCGAAAGAACCTTTCCACATTAAGCCATCAAACTGCAGTATAATATGACAGGTCAGTAAGCTCGGAATCACATTTACCAGTACTCATTGGAAAATTAGCTCAATTGGCGCATTTCTGCACAATTCTTTCGCGGGCCGGATGTGGCCAGCGGGCCGTAGTTTGGAGATCCTTGCTCTAATCCAATGTCTCTCAATTTGTCAGCAAGCAGTTCATATTAAAACAAACGCTATTAATTGTTATCAATTTAAACAGGTGATCGACCGCCTCTGTGGTCTAGTAGTTCCTGGCTACAGATCCAGAGGTCCGAGTTCGATTCCCGACGCTACCAGATTTTCTGAGAAGTAGTGGGTCTGAAACAGGGTTCACTCAGCCTCATGAGGATAACTGAGTAGCTACTTGAATGGAAAAGTAGCGGCTCCGGTGTAGAGAACCGAGATTAACAGCCGTGGGAATCCGTTCCGCTGACCACGCGACATCCTCTATCCGCTAAAGTTGGCACTAACTTCGAAGACAAGTGGGGGTCGCCTGGTCGGTACAGTTCGCTTGCGTACTAAAAGCCACGGAGTATCATATTAAAATCAAACCACATTTATCGAATTTGCATATAAATAAGGATTGCTTGTACATGGTACATGGAAAAGAAACTGGGAAGCAGAGACCTTACACGGGGATCGATTGTTAATAGGGAAAACGTGAGGTAACATAAGAGGAAGGAAGATACAGAAAAGGGATCGTACATCTCATGCTGCTTCATCTTTTCCCCACTGACAAACAATCCATCGTAGGGTCTAGAGTTCCAATTGCTTCGCTCATAGTCCAAGTCCTCCCTTCCCTCTGCTCACGCCACTCTTATACCCTGAAGATGGATCTAGCAAGTTTCTCTGAAACGTAAATACTAACCTGACAAACTACATACTGTCATGTCCCAGAATACTGCGAATTATTCACATCGACAAGTCATTTCCTGTATTTATACCTTGAAAGTCCCCAAAATTTCCATATTGTTCGTTACATAAGTAAGATACAGCATTAACAAGGTCACGCATCATTTCACTAGCACGTGTATACGAATTCGTACAAATGCAAATATTAATTCCTTTAAGAAAATACTGTTCCCTAACTCACGAATATAAAAAAAAATTGCTGCACTTGGAAGGGGGGTTTCATACATCTGTAACGATCAGCTACTCCACTACGTTAAATTGGATGTACAATATATCAAGGCCAAGAGCAATAACAACAGATCCAAGGATTTAATTCCACATGTTGCCATGCACTGCCTTAACAACTTACAATGTCACTGCACTTGCATTAATACTTACATCTCTCAAGGGCTGACTAATTACAGCAGATGTCATAGTGAACACTAATTCGCTCCCTATCTGTATTACTGTGCTCTAAATTAACACTTGAATTTCACACTACTTTCTCATTATTATTCATGCCAGCCAGTAATAGTTAAAATAACGTTCACATCAACACTACCAACATCAAGCCTCGAAAAAGTATTTATACGGTATATCAATAATTTACTTCTAACCTAATACTATGTCTCCACACCAACAGACTTTCAATAAGTTTTGCTTAATGTTGTAACTGAATAGCAATTTCATGTTTCAATATTGCAAACATTTTATTGTTCTACGTGAAAGCGTCTTTGTTATTGGCGACATTGATGCTATCATCTTTTAATTTCAACATTATCCAAGAGATGGCAGTATATGGATGAAGAGTTCTGTACTGCCATCTGTCGACACTGATATACATTCATTCATAAAGTTGGAATTATGACGTAGATATAAATTAACGCATAAATAGCGTCCTAATTGACATCTGTTTATTCTGCAGCCTCTTTCTGTTATTCTAGCAAGTATTCCAGTTGGAATGTTTCGAAACAAGGAAGAGTTGGATTGTCCTCATTATGACAAAGATGGCCATGGTCGATTGGTGTGGATTTTTTATTCAAAGCCCTTAACTCTAAACCTCATTTACACTACAAAATAAGTAACGTTATGTCTTTTGTGGTAGAGGCCTTGCGACGAGCTGATCACTCGCCCAAGGAGTCCTACCGTATGTGTAAGATCTAGTAAACCGAAGTGAAACGGAGAGTTTCATGGAGGTAGGCCTAGGCCCAAATTGGGGCTGTACCGCCACAGGAAAAAAAATGTCTTTTGTAGGCAAGCTTACGAAAGAAAAGCGTTGTGTACGTATGTCTGAACCTCCCACAGGCGCAGGAATTCAGAAATACCAGAACTACGTTGAAAATACATTCTAGTAGTTTCTAACGATGACGTAACAGTCAACGTCACTATCAGGGGATGCCACTCCCACGTTGTAGTGCATTAGAGTATGCTTAAGGTACTGTAACATATCATGAACAAATTCTGAACAGTTTAAATGAGGAAAACTCATATCATCATACCAAAGTGGAAGGATTTATTCGAAGCAAATCGTGTTTACAAACGATGTACTCGTATTTGAGGTTCTCACGAATGTCACTATGAAGAGTATCATCTACTGCGTTGTAAGACGGTGTAGTTCGGAAAGACCCCGATGTTTCGGAGAAAAATACTGTCTTGATCTTCAAAGTAGAAGAGTAGGCTAAGGAAGAACCCAGCAGAAACAGGCAGCAAGGTGGGCTCGGCGTCTGCTAGTTTCCTGCTTGGCTTACTCTTCGACCGTGAAGATGGAGGCGACGTGTTCTTCTGAAACATCGGGCTGTCTCCGAACTACATGGCGTTACAACCCAGAGGACCGTAGTTTCATTCGCCACTCTTTGTTACTTCATTTTTAACTTGGATGGTTGGTTCCGGTGTCCGGTACTTGCATCCTTCAGTTAATCAATGTTAAGCTGGAAGCTTTCCGATGGTCTGATCCCCTATCCCAGGAGTCCAAAGATTTGTCCAAAGTTGTCCCCGTGCTTAATCAAGAAATAAGATATGAAAAGTATGGCGGCGTGGATGTATATCTATCTCCCTTTATCTTTAGCATCAGCACTAATGAAGTTGAATGATCATCTTCATGCCCCGGCCGAGGGAAAGAGCGCCCGGTCTAGGTGCTGTGGAGAAGAGAAAATCTCTTGGCTCTGCCAGGAATTGAATTCGATTCCTCGGTCGTACAGCACATATATAGCTTGGTCACTATACCGACTGAGCTATCCCGGCATGCCGCCTGTTCGTATGAGGTGGAAGCTGCAATGCTGAAAGGAGGGAGATATACGGATTAAAACAGGTTGTAAATTACTTTATACGGGTTCCGTGAAATGTTGACTTGTACGTAGCAAATCAATGTAAATACTGGTTTTATTATCCTGAAAGGCCCGGGAAGGGGCATCCAAACAAACTGGGCAACAAATTAACCACGTGTAAACAATTTTAGCCTACTTTCGTCGTTGGTTGCTTACGATATATGTCCACACGTGAATCCACGCGTCTGCGTAAGATGGCAGCCTTGTGGATTGTGACACCGCGTGATTTCGTAGGTAGTTACTAAAGATTCAGAGGAGACTGCTGTCTCCATCATCTGTCCTGAACAAGAAGGTACTACGATACTCCGAAACGTTGGTTGACACGAAACAAGACGATACGTAAACCAGAAAGCCACAGTCTTATTACTGAAAACCATGGAAACGAATTCTCATTAATTCCGGTTGAAAGCACAGTGGTTCTGAGAAGTCATAGTATCGGTCACTCCACGCAATAAAAGTATGTATAGACGTGACCTATTCCGAACTGTTTCCGAGATAGAGCTATTTCACTGTACAGTACACTGTACACTGTACAGACGAGCAACACGTCATGTCCTCACACGGGTTGCAAAGTGCATTGATGTTGACGGTGGAATTTTAGAAAATGTATTATACTAGGCAAACTGCGCCAAATTTGTCACTTGAACAATAAATGCTGGTATTAGAAACAGTACGTAATATCTCTTTCTTATCAGTAACTTTTTTTTTCCTTGGCACTACAGCCCCAGTGGGCCTAGGCCTACCTCCATGAACTTCTCCGTTCACTTCGGTTTTCTAGATCTTACGCATACGGTAGGACTCCTTGGGCAAGTGATCAGCTCGTCGCAAGGCCTCTACCTGTACACTAACACAGAAAAACGCACACAAACATCCATGCCCTGAGTGGGATTCGAACCCACGATCCCGGCTTCCGAGCGAGCGAAGACAGTGCATGCCTTAGACCGCTCGGCTACCGTGACCGGCTATCAGTAACTCTCGAACAGTGAAATAGGATGTAGCTGTATCTCGGAAACTGTTCGGAATAGAACACGTGTACATATACACTTTTTTGCTCAGAATGGCCGATACTATGACCTCCCAGAATACTGACCGTTCCTCCCGGGACCCTCTGTATATAAGGATAAGTTCTGCCAGGCTCTGTATTTAGATGGAACCTTCTTAAAAGGAAAGAAGACATATGAGATGCTTCCGAAACCCAGTGCAGGTAAATCTGTACGTATCAGTGTGACCGAAAGCATGTTGGAATGATGCGCAGTTAGAAGTCGTCACGTGGATGTCTCATGGTTTCAGTCAGTGACTGTCACCTGCTGGCAGACGCAAGCAAAGTGTGCAAATTGAAGCTGGGCGCCAATATATACATTGCATTAGCGAGTCATGACAAGGTAAAGGACCGTTCTTCATCCCACGGCCGACACTTCAGAATTTAGTCATTTTGACAGAACAAACAATTAGTCAACAAAGAAACCAATGTAGCAATGCCTAGCGAGACAAGGCCATAGGAGCCTAAGGGACCCGTAGCCTCTGATAGGACCCATCAGAAAGACAAATCTTACAAGTTGGAAAACCTAAATTGAATTTTCCACTTGGAAGATCTAGGTATAGACACGAGGATAATACTAAAACTAATTTTATAAAAATATTGTGGAATGTACACCCGTTGCTAGGCAACTACCGCGAAATGAGCTACTATACAACAGCCTTTGTTAGGTAACGGCTCCGCAAACAAGCATGTTCCCACGTCTACAAAAGAATACAGCAATAATGGAAGAAATGTTTTCTGTGCGGTTCGTGCCGAAATGTTGTAAGCAGGACAAGTTAGTCATCCAAATCCAACCCTTGTGGAGGTGGGGTCCAATACCTCTACCGTAGCCCTGCGAGTCGTAGGAGACGAAAAGAGTATCCAGTGCCTGGGGGCATAACTGGGTCACCCTGTTCTTGGGGGATATAAGTACGGGGACATGGCCCTCCAGGATGGGGTAGTCTCGAAGCTGAGTTGTGAAATGTGGTCATGAGTACCGCTGAACTCGGACCCGAGAATGACTGCGCTGGCAAGGATGAGCAGTAATTCGTAAACGACAGACCCATCATCTAGTCAGAGAGGATGTTACACAAGGACTATGGCCGCAAGTGTTCAGTTACAAAAATTACTGGTAGTGAGTCTCAAGGGGCTTGTCGCCAAGACGAACTGATTGGCGGTAAACCGCCAGTAGTAGAGTAACTCTGACTAGAACTGGAACTGGGTCGAGTTCTGGAGAGGGCAGTCGAAGGTGATTCAGAATAAATGACAAGGAAGGAATTAGACACTGACAAGAAGATTTCATGTGTGATTTGACATGCCAGTGAGACCGATACATATCCGTTGCCAGGATACGACTAGTGAAGGCTGATAATCCTAGTGCATGTGCAACGGTGAACTGGAAAGTGTGTAGAACAGCGATAGCGCTAATTGTCTGTAGTCCCGAACTGTGTGAATGTATAAGGTGCAACACATCCAATCATCCAATCCAAAACCAGTCTCTAAGTCACCTCTACGCGTTACAATACATTAAAACAAAACATATTTCACCGTGAGATTAAAAATAATAAATACATGAACAAACTATCACTGTACGTGAGAGAGGAAACGGTGTATGAACCCTTTGTCCAGGCGACACGTGAAGAGGCGTAGAATGGGGGCGTGGAGAGACCTTGATATTGGCCCTTCACACTGTAAAAGCATAACAGTGCACGTAAGGGAATTATTTATATCTCATTACATAACTTCCAGGCGACTGAGTGCTTTACGTAACGAGCAAGCACGTCTTGTCAGCGCAGAATTGGAAGCAGGCGTCGACTGTTCAAGACTCTGATATGTGGCCCTGACGGGAATTTCTCCCACGCAGTTGTGTTTACTCGGTAGCACTCCCTCTCGGTACAAGCAATATGCATTCCATTAACGGCCATAAAATACTGTATAATGCAAATTATTAATATGGCTGACCTCACACCAAAGCAAACTGTCAAGGAAATTATTTCCATGGCAAATAAATCAGCATTTCGACTCGTGTATGAAGTGCTGCTAATTCCACGCCTATATTTCTCCAGTTCACAAAGTCCAAGGCTATAACAGTCTCGGCGACGTTTCGGCATATTGGTGAAGACAGAAACTTCAATATCCTTTTGTAAGAGGTAATGTAAAGTTGTCCCTGTGCACCACGTCATTAAAACGTATGGTGGCGTGGCATTCTTAACCTAGTCACTAGATGGAGGTGAGTGGTCAGATTCACGCTCCTCCCGCTTCACCCCTGGGAAAGAACCCTCGATATTCATTGCATAGGAGGCTGCGTTGACTCCAGAGCCGGTCTGGACGCTGCAGAG